ATGATATGAAAACGTTGCAACAAGCCTCCCGACTGTTGCAGTGGCCCTTCATATACCTTGAGGATAGACGACGTCAAGTGCGGCCAGCATCATTACGTCAGAATCCATCAAAGGTAAGCGTACGGTGTTAGCGGAGTTGAACCGACAGCGACTAAGGATGGGCGAGTCGCTTTAGATCTGCCATACACCATGTTGGCAACATCTGCAGACCCGCGACGGTAGCTTGTTCGGGAACATAGTGGGTGACGTCGGCCTACATGGCAACGGTATCTCCGGCTAGGACCGTCGTACATCTGATCCACATGTCGTATTCATGATGCTTCGAGATAGCGTTGTCGGGAGAAGATATTCAGAGCCTTGAAAAGCGCTGAAGAGAATTCACGGAGATGAAGCGGCGAAGTCGATGTGAAGCTGTTGTTGGCACGACCGCACCTTCTCACTGCGGGGCGTCTTGCATGAGGCGGCAAAACGCGCTCAACTCAAACAGACAAATAAGTGAGATGAGTCGCCAACATACAGTACAATTGAAATATCGAGCGCTCGCGCGTGGAGGTTGGAGATGACTGACTGGTGCCAGGCTGAAAGAGGATGTTTAATGGGAAGGAACGCGTGACGGAAGGAGACTAGCGCGACGCGAATTGGTGTCGCGAAACTGGTGCCCCTCGAAGCCCTCACCGCAGCAACAGCCCAAACAATACACCCTCCATATACCCACTTCGAATACCCCCTCTTACGCTGCATTGAAGTTCTTTTTGCCGCGATTGGTCACTCTCTACCCCGAAAGTCACATAATACACCATGGCCGAGGTCATCAGAGACGAGGAGGTGCGTAGGCGCGTGCGTCTTGCGCAAGAGTTCCTCGACCCAGGTATGTCAAGCCGACTCTCGAAATGATGCGAATACTAATTACGGTGCAGATGACGTCTCCAGACGAAGGTATGCCGCAGCCATCCACCCCATAGAGCGCGCACTGACCGCTCCAGCTACCGCGCAGACATTCTGGTGATGCTCAACCGAGGACTACGAAGACTCACAGTAGGTGTTGTATGCTACAAGCGTCTACGCATACTTACTATATTCAGGTCAGCATAGACGAGATCCGCTCACATAACCGCGAACTCGCCGACGGCCTCCTCAACTCGCCCTTCGAATTCACAGAAGCCTTCGACCGCGCCCTCAAAGACGTCGTCCGCACATTCACCGACCGACCCAAGTCCGAGACAGGCGACGATGTGGTATACTATTGCGCGTACATCGGCAGCTTCGGCGAGTACTCGTGCAACCCGCGCACCCTGGGCTCAAACCAGCTGAACCACATGGTGTCGCTCGAGGGAATCGTCACCAAGACGTCTCTTGTGCGGCCCAAGGTGGTCAAGAGCGTGCATTACAACGAGAACAAGCAAAAGTTCCATTCGCGAGAGTACAGAGATCAGACCATGACTACCGGCGCTGCGAGTACGAGCGTCTACCCGACGGACGATGGCGAGGGCAACCCACTCGTCACTGAGTACGGCTACTGCATCTACCGCGACCACCAGACCATTTCCATCCAAGAAATGCCTGAGCGTGCCCCTGCTGGTCAGCTACCGCGCTCCGTCGATGTCATCTTGGACGATGACTTGGTAGATCGTGTGAAGCCGGGAGACCGCATACAGATGGTCGGCATATACCGCTCACTCGGTAATCGCAACGCTGGTGCCGGGAGCTCGACTTTCCGCACCCTGATCCTAGCGAACAACGTTATCCTCCTCTCTTCCAAGTCCGGCGGTGGCATTGCCCAGGTTTCTATCACCGATACCGATATCCGCAACATCAACAAAATATCCAAGAACAGGCGCGTCTTCGAACTGCTGTCACAATCACTGGCTCCATCTATCTACGGACATGACTATATCAAGAAGGCGATTCTGCTGCTCCTCCTGGGAGGACAAGAGAAGAACCTTGAAAACGGCACTCACTTGAGGGGAGACATCAATATTCTCATGGTCGGTGATCCCTCAACTGCCAAGTCGCAACTGTTGCGTTTCGTTCTGAATACCGCCCCGCTTGCCATCGCTACAACGGGTCGCGGTTCGTCTGGTGTCGGTCTCACGGCAGCTGTCACCTCGGACAAGGAGACGGGCGAGCGACGTCTCGAGGCTGGTGCCATGGTTCTCGCTGACCGTGGTGTCGTCTGTATTGATGAATTCGACAAAATGTCCGATGTCGACCGCGTAGCTATCCACGAAGTCATGGAGCAACAGACCGTTACCATCGCCAAAGCCGGCATCCATACATCGCTCAATGCTCGTTGCAGTGTCATCGCAGCTGCCAACCCCATCTTCGGTCAGTACGATATCCACAAGGATCCGCATCGCAACATTGCTCTTCCGGATTCTCTACTATCGCGTTTCGATTTGCTGTTCGTTGTAACAGATGACATCGAAGATGCACGCGACCGTCAAATCTCTGAGCATGTCCTACGCATGCACCGTTACCGCCAGCCTGGTACTGAGGAGGGTGCACCGGTCCGCGAGGAGGGCTCTCAGCTGCTTGGTGTTGGTCTTGAGACCGACGCTGATGCAAATCGTCCGACGGAAGTCTACGAGAAATTCAACCCCATGTTACATTCCGGCGTTACAATCACCGTCGGACGTGGCTCGAACCGAAGGACTGAAGTCCTCAGCATACCCTTCATCAAGAAATACATTCAATATGCTAAGCGCGAGAAGCCAATCCTTACGAAAGGCGCTGCGGATCATATTGTGGCAACGTACTCTGCACTACGAAACGACGAGCTAGACGCCGGTACCCGCCGTACTTCCCCCATCACCGCACGTACTCTCGAAACACTCATCCGTCTTTCCACCGCCCATGCAAAGGCACGTTTGTCGAAGCGGGTTGAGCAGAAAGATGCAGACGTCGCAGAACAGATCCTCCGTTTTGCCTTGTTCAAAGAGGTCGTCGAGGACGACCGCCGCAAGCGAAGACGGACAGTCCGCGATCCAGACGCTATGTCTACAGACGGAGAATCGTCCGGTGGCGACGACGAGGACGGGGATGAGCAAGAAGCCACACAATCTCGCCGCACCGGTGGGCCATCGACCCGCAGCCAGCGTACAGAGACCACGCGCACTCCTGCAGCCGAGGAGGAAGGCGGCGAGGAAGAAGACAACGAGGACCTTTACAATGTCACGCCGAGGACCCAACGCACGACTGACCGCACACAGTCCTCTCGCGCCGGTCAATCGTCGCAGGTCAGCGCTGCTTCTTCACAACCCGAGTCGCAACTACCCGCTACACAAACCGAATCGCAGGAATCGCAAGGCATTACACCGGCACGTCTGCAGGTATTCCAAACAGCACTTGGTCAGCTCATCGACGGTCCGCTGTTTGCAAACGACGCTGCAGATGTCGAGCCGCTGGTTGCCGCTGTAAACGCAAGACTCGGTGGTGGTAATGGACGCGAAGCGTTTGATGAAGATGAGGCCGAAAAGGCACTTGAGGCTCTGAGCGAGAGGAACAAGATTATGTACTCTGGAGGTATTGTGTATAAGATTTAGAGAGCTTGGCTTGCGATTGGATACATGATCAAATGTGGATATGATGCGATGATCATTGATTTCGTTGTCAGTCCGGAGTCCCATGGCGTTTTTGATCGGAATTCGGATTCATTGGCGCGATTCAACGATTCGTTACTTCAAACTCGAAGAGTTCCTCGATATAAGCATGATCAAGTGTTGAGATTCGAAAATTGACCAACATTCCTACTCCCGTTTTCTCACGATGTTTACCGCTGGTCAGGCAAGACATATTTGGGGACTAGAACGCTCGGTTGCTGACACCCCCAATAAGGGTTTTAGCAAATAGGACCGGAATGATGGGGGGCCAAGATGGAATTAGACACCCTAGCCTTGTACACCCCGAACATAAAGGGATACTGTTTGACGGTCTCTTAAAATCTAGCTTAACCTCCGTCCTTGTGGGCTAACATGTTTTCGTAAACAACTTCGCGAATCGGCGGATGTACGAACCATGCGCCTCACCGTTCCCCTCTTCATCTCGTTCACATCCGCTACTATACGCGCCGAACCCGACACACGCGCATGCTACGACGCCTCCAACTCAATCGCACCAAACCACCACCCCTGCATCTCACCAGCAACCCAGTCCATCTCCCACTGCTGCTCAGCCACCGACACCTGCCTCGGCGACACCCTCTGCCTGAGCCAATTCGGCACCCTCTACGTCGGCAGCTGCACGATCAAAGACTGGAAGGACGGCGCGAACGGAAAAGGGTCGTGTCCCAAATACTGCGCCAATGAAGGAAACGACATCGCACTGTGCAGTTGGAACAATGGCTGGGAGTTTTGCTGCGGGTTGCTAGGGAAAGGGATTGAGGAGTGTTGTAAGGGGGAGAGATTCAAGTTGGATGGGAATACGACGAGTGAGTTTGTGGTTCAGAGGCCTTGGGGTGTGGATGCTGTGTCTGAGGGAAGCGCTTCTTCTTCTTCTTCGAATCCGAATCCGACAGCATCATCGGTCTCGTCGCAATGTCCTACTCTCCCCGCCAACGCAACCGATGACGGTAGTAGCGAAGATAACGAGATCCCCGTCTCCCAGATTGGTCTGGGTGTTGGCCTCGGCATACCTCTGCTCATCGCGCTTGGTCTGCTTTTTTGGGAGAACAGGAAACGCCGGCATGTGGAAGCGAGGTTGGAGATGTCTCGAGGCGAGTTGCTGGTCGAACATGCGGGTTATGCAGCTTCGAATGAAGGCAAGCCTGGCGCGTATGTGGGCGTCGAGAGCCACGAGGTTGATGGGTTGGGACAGAGAAATGAGCTGTCGTCTGACAGACCACTGTATGAGTTAGCGCATGGTGGCAGATTAGCTCTCATGATACATGATGTATGATGTCTGCAAGCAAGGGTGAATATGCAACGGAAAGAAGGTTGTCAATGTTTATTTCATTCATTGGTCATATCATCGTCTCTTTGTACATCCTAACATGCCCTAGTGCTTTATACAGGGGAGTCCTGCTTAGCGAACTGCCTCGCGAGCGCCTCAATGCTGTCCACAATCCTCTTGAACTCATCCTTCTGCTCTCCAGCAAGCTCTCCACCATCCATGGCAGCATCGTCATCCTGGTTGCCCCACTGGATCTCCATTGTGTTGAAGTCGACCTTGGTGTCTAGGCCGTAGACGTCCTTGCTGGGGTGCGAAGGGAAGCCGCGGAGTGTGGAGATGAGAGACATGAGCTCCTTGACGTCGTCTCTGCCATGGGATTAGTAAAGGGACTTTAGGATCAAGGGGACTGTGAGGGGCGTACTGTGGTACATCGCCCTTCTTCTCTGATGACTTGGAGTTGCCGTTGTAGTTGGACATGCGGATGCTGGCTGGGCGGTTGGGCTCGCCGATGACCTCGATCATGTGTGTGGGTGCGCCTGCGTATTATGTCAGTAAGAAAGCCTTGTCCATTCCCAATTAACGAACTTACCGGAGAAGGGCTTGCTAAGCACGACCTGGAACTCTCCAGAAGGCGGGGGTGCGACCATGCGAGGCATCTTGATATGTAGTTTGTGCGGTTTGGTCTAACAAGTATCGAGAAGTTTGAAGCTTTCGAGTTACAAAGTGCGTAACTGAATAATTGTTTCAATTGGAGGTGGTAGATGAAGTTTCAAGCGGGGTACGAAAGCGTGGTGAGGGGAGGTTTTGTAGCAAGTGCCATATGCCATCATCGCATGCAGGTACCCACACTAGTTTTGTTCTTGATGTCATGATGAATCGCGGCTGCCGATGTGGACCGCGAAAGTTTCCGTTTCTTTTCTCCACCTTTTGCGATGAGCCGTCTGAGTGTCGATGCGATGGGACTGTTGGTGCTCAGATTCTGCAAGTGGTTTTGATCGAGATCGTGTGTTGTCGCGTCGTCGCTTGACGCGTTACGCGTGAACACGGGGTATGACATCACCAGCCCTTCACATGTCTCTACCTAGGTACCCAACTTCGACACGCATTTGCACATGTTAATGCCTCTTTCTCGGAGGCACCGTCTCGAAACTATGCAGGAGCATCTTTCCAAGCCTGTTCTAGCTGCATCAAAGAAGCTCGGTCCGACGAAGCTCTACAGCCTCCCCGCAATGAATGACTGCTTTGCCATCTCGATCAAATATCCCGGGCTCGTTTGGCTGACCTTGACTGGACAGCACAAGCTTCAAGATCATATCAGCCAGCTCTTTCGGAAGCTTCTTACCCACAGCTCGATACACGTTGAGCTTCGTCTCAGTGTACGCATGTCTCTGTAGAAGATCAAGTGCCACCGCAGTGTTAACACGTACACATCCTCGTTCTGCTCGAGCGCTTGGTCTAGACGTAGGAATGTGATTGCAATGGTGATAATGATTGTAGAAGCGGCGAATAGACTGACAAAGATAGGCTGCATCGGGTTGTCGTGCTTGCACCTCACCATTGTCTCTGCGATGAGCTTTGCGATGTCGTTTTGTCGACTGTAGAGTGTTTCTCAAGATTCTGTCGATTTGACGATTCGCGTTCTGATGAGCCTCGTTGCAGACGAATGTAAAAGTTCCATGCAGGCAGTCCAGTTTTGCATAGACACAAAGGTCCAGTGCTGGTAGCTCACCGTCTTCAGCGACGGTGATGTGTTCAATCATGGCCAGCATCCGCGGAAAGAAGACGGTTCGAAACAAATGCTTATATTCCTCCAAGTATTGATGCTGGGGCCAGAGTTTCGAACGATGCAACGCCGTGCGCATCGTGTCTTTGAGATAACCAGCGCATGCTTTGGCGTTCCGTGGCGGATGTGCCTGAAGTAGCGCTAAGAAATTTTCATGTGTAATGTCTGTGATTGCGCGCACAGAGTAAGTACAGCAGCATTCGCGCAAAGAAGCATCACACTCACCAACGGAAAATGGGTTTTTATTAGGTCGGTCATCGCAAGAAGAATGCAACAGTTGCTCGAGTGTTGGAGTGTCGAGAGAGGCCGTCCGAAGTAGCTGCTTTAAAGGCTGCCATATTTTGAGGTTGAAAGCACGATAGGCAACAGACTTTCGGGACTTGTGGGAAGTTTGCTGCTCGCTGGCGTCTGGCTCTTTTTGCGCCGAGCGAAAGGTTCGCGTCATTGTTACAACTAGCTTTTCTGGCTTATGAGTACGTGTTAATCTGTTCTTTCTGGGCGCGTGTTATATTTCGTCCCCACATCAAAGTGAACGTAGCCAAGTATGAGTAGGGGTGAGATTTTAGCACGATCCTTGATTGTCGGCCCCGGTCGTGCCGCAATGCTGCATAAGGGGACTAAGCTGACTTTAGACGCCTTGGAACTCCCTCCCGCGAAGGCTTGCGTTTGTTGCAATGTCTTTTTGCTGGGCTGTTGGCGCTATGTTGAGAGTTGTGCTGCGTGGTTGATGCAAACAGTGGGGTATGGGGCTGCCCAGATGTCGTGAAGCGCGCTAGCTCAAGTGGCAGCTACGGCAGTAAAGTTACATTACCAGACCATGAATACATGCGCAACTCGGGGTCCCTAGTCCATGCGATAAACTTTTTGATCGCCCTAAGCAAACCAATGTCATCGAGCAGATTACGGAACTGGCAATGGATGACTATTGGGTATATTAAATTTGAACTGGACATATCTCACACTCGCGACTTCCACCATCTACCTATGGCCAATCATGGTATAGCTCATCTCAAGTTGTTTTCGCCTTGCCAGTTGACGCTCCATCTTCCTGTACTACCGCGCGTTCATCCCCATCGCCCTCAACCTTCCCTGGCTTCGCAAAGGCAGCACCAAGCAGATGAATCGGGTTGTTCATCCTTGTCATCATAAGATAGAGCAGAGTAAGACCTGTGACAACAACTTCGTCTCTCAGAGCCTCTGTAACCTCATCTTCTGTCTCCTCAAAGTAGAAGTTGCCGACTTGCTTCATCGCCCATAAATTGACGCCGAACTTGGCGATAGATTCCTGGGTCGCGGAGTTTATGCATACGAAATCCCAGACTTTCATGGTAGAATTGGCGGTCCAGGTAATAGGGATGCCGCCAAGCGCATGCGAGAGGTAGTTGTACTTGGTCTTCCAGCGTTTCAGTGGCTTCAAAATGACTTCTTGGCCATGAATGATGCAATCGCCGCTGATGGAGAAACTGTCTAAACGTCGAAGTACTGAGTCAGAGTGTTTCTTAGATGTACCATAGGCAGACTTACGAATGGTGCCTTTCGCGATGATGGTCTGATCTGACGCGCGCTCGAAGCGCAACTGCGGCTTTGCAGGGCGGAAATGCTGAACGTAGAGCGGTGTGAGCTGTTGGCCAGCGCCTTTTGAAGCTACTATGTTGCGGAACTTTGACCAGGCAAAATCTACTTGGAGAGTGAGACCGCTTGGGGAAAGAGGGCTCATGGAATCAACAGGCTCGACAGGCTTAGCAGGCTCAGCGAGCTCTTGCGATGCCCTTTTTGGCGGTCGGGAAGTGTTCGGAGGGAGTTCAGTATGGGTGAACATGACGTGCTAGTGGATGCCTGCTCTTTCGATGTTGGGATTTAAAAGATAAGCCGTAACCGCAACGGCCGTTACAAAAATTCGAAAATTGTCAAAGCGTGGTCACTCGGAGGTGGTCAAACGGTGAGGTGAAGGTGAAGACGGGCACTTTTGAGAAGGGAAATGCAAACGCGCACTAGAGGTGATTTCGATGTGCGTGATATGTGTATTTGAGTTTGCGTAGTGTAAACATCGTGCGTTTGTGTGCCTTGCTTAGCCACTCTTCTGGCTTTGGACGCCTTACCATGCCTCAATATTTCCTAGAACGGAATAGTGCTTAGCAGCACACGGCGATGTAGTACAGCGCAGCACATCTTCAATACCGATGAAAGTTATGGGCTGTCTTATGAAGACACAGCTAAGGTGGCACGGAATTTCGAAGGCTGATCTGAGTGTCGCCAAAAACTATCTGTACGGACAGGTCGTGGGAAGAGGAAAGAGGCTGGGAGTGCAGCTGCACAGGGGCAGGTGGGCCCACTTAAGTGAGATGTCGTCATAGCTCACGGCCACCACTCCGTCGACACCCACACCCCACTCAGCATGTCAGCATCTCCACGCTCGCAACGAGAAAAACGATTCTCAGTGTGCTGTACGGCAGGTTGTGAAAGAGTTATGAAGATCGTGGGGCGCCTATCAGCCGTAACGTACACCGCTGGTCAAAGCAGCCCAAGCGCGGGGGATGCACTGCGGACAGGAATTACACTCCCCAGCATTCTCATCCGGCTACCAACCAGTATGGCACACTGACCTGCTCGCAGGTATCGCATCGGTTTCAATACACCTTGGGATCCTTCATACCAAGAAAGGAGCTTGTCGACTATGCTGCATGACACCGCCTCTTCCAGACTTCGACCGGCGTCATTACTCCACGCGAGGAAGATCTTCAGCAGGTATCGTGAGTAACTTGGTGGGATATCTTCCGCGGACGGCTCAGACAGCAGTTTCGAGGCGGCTTCGAAGCGGCTCGCTTCTAACGCTGCGCTGTTTGAGTGATTCGGCAATACGGCAACAGATGCCCTCTCGCAGTGCGAACCACAATTCTCGATCACTAAAACACACCAAACGATCGTGGTCTCACAGATTAATCAATGATGTTAGAGTACTTGGCTGTATCGCCGGGCGCACTGAGCCTCCATCCCGCGGATAGTTACCCGCATGATGTGCAGCGCGGCAACAGAGAGGTCCAAGTATCGCCCAGTTCTGCCAACAAAGTTGAGTGCTTCTTTTAGCTGGGCCTATCGCGCGTCCAGAGAAAATCAAAATGCTGGGCGATACTCATAATCTCCCACGCCTGCAATGGGTGACGATTACTGATGATGCTCGTGCGGACGCGTCCCCCAAGCCAAGTGTCGATCGGGATGCCACAGCTGCAGGACAAAGATCTGCAAAGGAGGCTCTGCTGTTGCGTTGTTGCAATGCACAACATCACTACTGGGTGTCGCGCTCCATTGCCTAGCAGGGTTTGTTCTGTATTTGGCACAGCGGACTTGGCGGACTTGGCAGGGAAACTCTGTGCAGAGCCACTAATCTCCGCCAAATCGAGACGCCCATCGGCATTGTCATGTTGAGACGCTTGCCGAGCCGCAATGCTCACAGCCGGACAAAAGAACCTGCGCCGTTGTGTGTTCCTCATTTGCGCCAATCACCGCGTACAAGGTCAACCTGTCTCAACAGCTCCTGTGTCTCAACCTTGAATGTTTCCCCGACGTCCACAGGTGTAACATGACAGGGTCAAAGGGAGCCTTAAGGCGGAAAGTCCCACACGTCGCGTTCGAAGCTAGCGCTACAGGTGAGCTTGGCACCATCCGCCATAGCCCATTCACCGCTTGGCTCCGGTCGTAAGCCTCCTAATGGCGGGAGTGGCTGCTAAGCCAAGAATGTCCTGGCGGCTGCTGTTTCAAGTCAACGAAGTGCATTGTGTCCGTGACGCGTGTAAAGATATGAAGTAACAAGGCTCAGCACCCAAGAAATTGGAAATCGAGGCTGGCATTCCCTATCACTGCGCTCGCAATTCTCTCCGAACCAGTCCGGGAAATCCCTCGTTCTCCATCTTTTTGCACTTGCTTATATTGGTTTTAATCGACTTGTAAATACGGCTGGTCTGCTATTTACAGTTACTCGCTCCCGCTGGTCGTCTTCATTCCACACCCTTTTTTCTCAACCCTTACTGTTGTTCCTTCCGCGCATGAATCCTTGAACACACTCCTTCCGTCTTTTCCGCTTTTCGCCTACAGGGCTCTTCACCATGCCTTCCCTCGATGTTAGCGAGCTTAACATCGTCATCGCCGTTCTAGGTACGTCTGACAGACGAAAGTCGACAGGCAAACACTGACGTTCGACTGCAGGCGCTTTCATCATTCTATACGGCTTCATTTCAGTCAAGATCAAGCAAGTATGGTATCTTGGTGAAGCTTGTAAGTACACAATCGCCCGACGCAGCGCCGTCATTCTTCAAAGCAGTGAACTCATTCTTTACAGTACCTGCCGTTCTCATCGGTGTCATCCTAGGACCGATAGCTGCCAGATTCCTAGATGCGGAGAAATGGGGCTCAGCTGCCACGGGGCAGCAAGAAGCTATCACGCTGGTGAGCGCGAATTCACAAAACCCCAATATTGAACCCTGCTGAGCATCATATAGGGCATGTGCCGAATCGTCATCGGTGTGCAGCTGGTCATCGCTGGATTCCAACTCCCTGCCAAGTACCAACAAGCCCGGTGGAAGGAGATGGCGATCTGCCTCCTCCCTGTGATGACAATCATGTGGATCTGCACTAGCTTGTGCATTCTCGTCACAGTTCCCAAGCTTACCTTCTTGGCTGCGCTTGTTATCGGATCTTGCGTTACTTGCACAGATCCTATCTTGTCGCAAGCCGTAGCCAAGGGTCCCTTTGCTGACAAGTTCGTTCCTCGCGCGCTGCGAGAAATCATCTCGTCGGAAGCCGGTGCTAACGATGGTTTCGGTTTCCCTTTCCTGCTGTAAGTCTCACAACCCTCCAGCATAAGAAGCTTCTCTGACGAGTCGGACAGTTTGGCTACATACCTCATTCGCCATGCCGAACTCGATGGTGTCGAGTTTAAGACCGGCATAGAAGGTGCCAAGGAAATCGCTCATCGGGCAGTCAACATGCTCTCCAAGCGTAGCGAAGAGGGAGTTGGTCGTCTCGGTGGCGGTGTCCCAATGGCCATGGAACAGTGGATTGTCGAGGGATGGCTGTACATCATCGTCATGTCCGTTGCAATCGGTGTCATCCTCGGCGTCGCCAGTATGTTCGCCGTCAAGTTCGCCCTGCGCAAGAAGTGGATCGACTCCGAGAGTCTTCTGCTCTGGCCTATGGCTCTCGGCTTGTTCACCATTGGCGTTTGCGGTGCGCTCGGTACGGACGACCTCCTCGCTTGCTTCGTCGCCGGAAACGTCATGAACTGGAATGGAGTCTACCTCGAGGAAACCGAGAAGCGTCATGACGAGGTCAACAGCTGTTTCGATGTCATCCTCAACTTCGGTGGTTTCATGTACATCGGAACCATCATTCCATGGGCTGAGTTCCAGATGCCAGATGTCACCGGTATCACCATTGGAAGGCTCATGATTCTTGGCTTCCTCATCCTCGCTTTCCGTCGTATTCCAGCCATCTTCCTGATGTACAAGGTCATGCCCAACGTCGTCAAGGACTGGAAGGAGGCGCTGTTTATGGGTTATTTCGGACCCATTGGTAAGTTGCCTCGACCCTTTCAGATAGTAACGTGAACTAACACTTGTCAGGCATCGGAGCCGTCTTCTACGTCGAGCACACTCGTCACCTTTTCCCCAAGCCAGGCGAGGCCGAGACTGAGGAAGAAGAGAACCTTGTCGCAGCCATGATCCCAGTCGTCTACTTCCTCGTCGTCTTCTCCATCGTCGTCCACGGACTTTCCATCCCCGCCCTCGATGCTTTCTACCGTTACAAGAAGATCCCAGCGATCGAAGAGTCTGAGCCCGCGGAGATTCGCGTACGATCTATCCACGAGGCCCTTCCTAAGAACACCAGGATGGACTCCAAGCGCGGCTCGGTCTACCAGCACAACCGCTTCTCTCGCCCGGTTTCCATGGGTCCTGGCCCGGAGCTGTACAGGTGGAACAACCAAGTCAGGGATAGCGAAGCCACGTTCAGGTCAAACTCCCAGGTGCAAGCCGTGGATTACGCAGAGAAACTGCAAACTATCCGGTTCCAGGAAGACTATGCTCATGAGAAAGCAAACTTGGGCCGGTAGATCGGTGTGAGCTGGGGCATTTGACATGTCGCACTCCCGAGTGGCTATCCCTATCTTTGGTGGAAGGCCTGTGAACGGGCAATTAGAGAATCCGGTACGCGCCAAGGGTCAAGCAGAGGAAGCGCGCAGAAGGAAGGAGAGCCGTTAGAACAGTGTATTGGTTGGATCGCTCATTTTAGGATTGGAACACAATCAGGGTTGCTCCCTATCGTTTACCATGCTTTTTGTCACTCGTTTAGACCTGTACAACATAGACTGACGTTGAATTACGCGTATTTGTCCGCACGCCAGTCCCAAAATTACGCCCAATGCCCACCCTCACCACCAGTTCTCAACTGCAAACTTCATAGTCGTCACCACAATCCGCACGATAACATCAACGCAGGAATCCGACGAGACCCCCAGCTTCAAGACCCAGTTCCCCAGACCCAGATGTCAGCCCCATTCCCCTGTCGTTCACTGCCCAATCCGAAACAAGCCAAGAACGCCGCGGTGGAATCGCCAAGCCGTCATTGCCGTGTTACCCGTGCCGGTTTTCCGCTGTCCCTGTCACTTTCCTCCCCTTAACGCCCTCGCTCCCCGGAAAGGTTATTCATACAGTTTGAGTGTCAGGACTTCATTCTCAAACGCCTTGGGAGATTCAGTCTTTGTTCCCGATGAAAGAGGAGGTAATAATATGGAGATTATGTGTAGTTGCTAAATTGGGTATGGCGTGCGCTGCGCTGTTTCGGTCCGACTCCACCTTTCCGCTCCGCGACGAGTGTGCGGAGGTGGTGGTTGTGAAGGGGGGGTTGGGGAAGGCTGTCGGAGTGACTTGGGGTTGAGCAAAAAGTTGATCGAGTTGTGGGAAACCATTTCTCGTCATATTCGTCTCTTTCCCATGATCGAATTCACGAGCTGCAGGCCTCCCCATTGCTGTGTCTCTCCAGCCAATGGCGACAGATGGCGATCCTTACCGTAATGGTCGGTGTCGCTTTATCATCACTTTGTTTGTCAGCTCTATCACCATCTCCTCTGCGCTAGATTGTGCAAGTATCGAGAGAAGCGACGAGCTTTTGACAACAGTTTTGTCAGCTGTCGTCATGTCAGAGGGCTCATATCTATTGCGATTGGCCTGCTGCATTGGTAAGTGATGCAACCCATTAATGGTGCATCGGCTATACGAGGTAACACCATAGACATCGTACTTGGGGTCTATGGGCCACACGCGGTGTATCATGAAGCGACTTCGGCTATATCTGAAAGACATATAGCCCGTTGACGGTAGTTTACGAGAAATCCAGCAAAATCAACCAATTTCACACAATATGCCACCAATCCGCGTTGCTCTCGCTGGTCTATCGTCATCTGCAAAGGTTACCTGGGCCGCAGACGCTCATCTCCCATATCTCCTCTCTCACCGTGGCAAGCAGCACTACCAGCTTGTCGCTCTCCTCAACTCCTCTACTCAAGCCGCAGAAGCAGCAAAGAAGACATTCGCACTTCCCGAAGACGTAAAAGCATATGGCGACCCAAGCACCCTCGCAGAAGACCCAGATATCGACCTCGTCGTCGTCTGCACCCGCGTCGATGTACATTTCTCTGTCGCCGAATCGAGCCTCAAAGCAGGGAAAGCAGTGTACATTGAATGGCCAGTGACGCAAGACCTTGCCAGCACAGTAAACCTTGCAGAACTTGTGCATGAACCGCGAAATAGTATCATCGGCCTCCAAGGACGGGTCGCCCCAATCACCCTTCGACTCAAAGACATTCTAGCCGCAAATACCATAGGGAAGGTACTCAGCAGCCAAGTCCGCGCCTTTGGTAACTTGCTGCAGCGGGACGCTCTCCCTGAGTCTCTGGAGTATTTTGCGGATAGAAAGGTGGGAGGACATCCCATCAACATCCATTATGGCCACATGATCGACTACGTGCATGAGGTACTCGGCGGATGGGAAGAATCTCATACGAAAATGCAAATCCAGCGACCGAATCTGAAGCTCCTGGGAGCTGACGGGAGTGTCAACAGGGCCGTAAAGACTGATGTACCCGATCTGATATCTGTACACGGTACCCTCAATACTGAGAAAGGAGTCACAGTACCCGGAGCCACACTTGCAGCTTCTTTCCGCCTTGGCCAGTCGTTTAAAGGCGAACCTGGGTTCGTGTGGTACATCGCTGGCGAGACGGGAGAGTTGCGTGTTACTGCACCAGGTCCTTATCTTATGTCTGGTGACTCTTATGATGGCCCTATTTCGATTCAGCACCATGATTACGCGACTGATGAAGTGCGCGATTTGGGCTGGGACTGGCCGGAGTGGCAGAAAGAGTTGGGTCTTCGCGCGAGGAGCGTGGCGGAGGTGTATGAAAGGTACGCGCAATGGGTTGAAGGTGGGATGGGGAGTGTGGTCGAAGGGAGAGAGTGGCCGAGCGTGGCGGATGGAGTGGCTTTAATGAAGGAGTTTGATGAGATTTATAAAGAGTTTGATAGGGTGTGAGGTAGGGTAGATCTTCCGTCTACATTATTGAGATAGTTGTAAGGTTACGCTAGTTGCTGTTAGGTACATTGCGCTATTTTCACAACTGATTTTCATTGATAGTGTCGGGCCTGTGAGGTTTGGTGCCGTGGTATCTGCTAATGCACTGAGCGATTTTGCCTGCACGAGCAACAAAAACGAGACTGGTTGAATGACAGTTGTATATCATACAGATCTGCGTAGGATCACAGGTTCAAGACAAAATCGTAATATAATATACGCTCCTCCTCTTTTACGCCCACTAATTCATTTCAAATATGGTCGCTATCTGTTGTATGTCGTGCCAGCTGGTAGCTCTACTGGTGCCCTATCGGCAGGCACTTCCGATACAGGACTGACCGCATATCCGTATTTCTCAGTTGCCGGTCCCTGCGTATACGTCTGGTTTGAGTCCATTTCACCAGGAGAACCGGCTGGGTACATAGGCGCGGTATGCGAATTGGCTGGCTCATACGGATTTCGCTTGCCATTCTTCTTTCTGCGCCAGAACAGAAATCCAGCCAGACCGAGTAGAGCGAGGCCACCGACTATTCCACCGACCAGGCCGCCTATCGCGCCACCTGAGAGACCCGACGCTTTGTCCTTTGTCGCGATTGGTGAAGGGGGCGAGGCAGCCGTTTCTTGTGATCCTCCAGACGGCGAGGTTGTAGCGATGGGTTGTCCTCCGGATACGCTCGGGGTTACTGACGACGCAGCCGCGCTGGTCGGCGAAAGCGCTTGTAGAGCAGACAGGCTGATCGCGTAGGTAGGGGCCGAAGGGCGAGCCGATATGAGAGACTGCGCTGTTTCGTTTACGGCGGTCGCGTTGAGGGAAATGAGGGGGTTGTCTAGTTTACTCCAGCAGATGTTCGTCTGGTCTGCTGTTTCCGTGCATGTCTCGCTAGGTCTTGTCAGCTACATGCGCAACGTTAAGTATTGCGGCGTTGAGAGGTTTGCTCACCTCGACTTTAAGCAGCAAAAGGCGTTAATGCCAGTCGAGCAACCTTGTTGACTGCCCGAGGGCGTTCTCTTGTCTCCTCCATCGCAATCTGAACTAGGTCCCCAGCACACAGCATCTGGACTTCCTGGTATGCAGCAATAATACTTCTCCGTCCGATCATCGAAGGCGCAGACCGATGGCGCGTCACACCCGAATGAAGACTTTGGACATGCCTTCAAATCGCCAATTCCTACGCTGCCTGCGAAGAAAAACTCGGTGAAGGCGCCACGCACTGGCAGTGTGGTTGCGAGGAGCAGACAGACTGTCGACAACATCTCCCCGCCTGTTGGATTGAGCGAGTGTTGGGTATGGGAGTGATTTGTGGAGTGCGACCGCAGGCGTGGAAGTGATCGTCTACAGCATTATGAGAGAACGGTGAGCCGTTCGGCGAATTTCCTTCGCTGTGGAGAGGTTAGGCCTCCCATCATCACAGTCGTGCCATAGCCACGATATGCCGTGCCCAAGAAGCCGGGGGCTGGCATCCAGACACGAATCACGTTGTGTTGGTGCCTTGGGTCGGCGACGTGAGAGGCAGTGTCGGCGTTATAGCCATAGCGCGACTTCACTGCTTATCGTTGCTGCATGTGGTCCATAGCTAGCTTTGAAGGCCCGGATCGCAAAATTCTACACGTAGGAAGAGGAACAAGGCGCATGCTTGGAGGTCGATGATCGAAAAAATGTACCAGTAACTGATTGGCAGAGAAGCTCACATCGAGGATGTGTAGCTTGTGGAAGCCGGCGGTTGCGACGAAAAGGCGTCCAAGCTACGGCGCGTGCGAACCGCGTGGTAGGTAATCTCGGCATCTTCCGAGTCATCCCACATGCGTCGCGAGCGCGCATTCCCCATCTCTTTCCCCACGTACCAACACAAACTTTGCCCACAAGCCACGTTCTTAAGACCCAAAGGTTAGAAAAGGATGGGTTAAGCCTTGTACATCAAAATACATCTGTACAGTAGATTTGCAGCCAGAAATCACATATTTTGGGCTGCCTTGGGAAGTCGCACATGTGGACACCACCTCTGATGCCATCTTTGGACACTCGCATGGTTCATACTAAGTTTCAAGGACCAAAAGTCAAGAGAGTAGAGGTGGAACGCAGTACCTTGATCATCGAGCACAACCCGCATGCTTGTCGGTTGGAACTGGTACCCAGGTACTTCAGGATGGTGCCACATCGCCGATACGTCACTCATGGCATTTCGCAAAATCAATATTCGCATGATGTCAACTTTGGGATTGTAACGCAAATAGAGTGCGCAGGAAAGATAATGCCGTGCTACCTAGGTATCGAGCCACCAGTTGTGGAATGCCTCACGACGCAGACTCCCGAAGTCTTGTGCATGAACAGGTGCCGCCTTCCCGTACGATTATCTCACCGTTTGTGCCAGCGCTGTACTCCTACCTAGGTATCATGAAGTATCATAAGGCGACCATGCAAATACGACAAGGGGTGTTCTTCTAGCAGCATAGCCTGCGTAGGGTAGTCGCTACCAGAATGTACTACAGTCCTACGTAAGTTCAGGAAATGAAGGGCAATATCCGACTAGGCGGACCTCCGCGGAGCTGTTGGCTGAGGTCACGGGAACGAGAACCGCCTGGGTATCTCGATCGTCACACTGTACCAAGAAGCCAGTATACTGACTGCTTCTATGGATAGCCTTATAATATTAATTCCACGTCAAGCCCTTCTCATGAGGGCGTAATGACTATTTCAACTCTGAACAATATGTCGCCCATGCGTGTGACTCCGAGATGGTGTGGTCATTGGAGTAGAGAATCGAAAGCCTTGATGGCGAACCGCGCAAGGCACCAAAAGCGAAGATTGACAGAACATTGGTAGCTAGTGGCGTTAATTTCGAACAATGAGGCCAGTGTTAACGTGGTCGAATGCTGAGCAGGTTGCTTCTAGAATTATCCTCCACACTGCAGTACTTCCAGACTGATACAAAATCGAGATAAGCGCCAGTATGCCAATGTCCTGCTTCGCGCCACTGTCGCTTCAAAGAGGATAGTAGAGTCGTCTGAGAACATCGCTAGACTCCTCCAAGGTATGACTGATGCAAAACCCGCACCTGTTTGGGAGAATTCTCAAATATGTTGGTCGGGTCAGACTCTGCGTTGCATATGACGGTCAAATTTTCTCTTGTTTGTGGATGTTTGGCCACGCCGCAGGAGAGGGTGGAGGGGCTGAGAGTGCAGTGTTGATGAGTACACAACACATCCAATTCGGAGGTCTATGCCGCGGGACGACGCGATAGTGATCCTGCCTGGCTTCTCGCGCCCGTTTTAGAACAGGCCGGTGTGGTATTCGATACATACCAGAAAGCCGATCTATAGGATAGAACCGATTGTGTTACCATACAGCATAGGCCCCACTGGGTATCGGATCACAATCTCGGCATTAGAGTGAGGGTTCTTCTAAACGAGCGCAGTCGCCGCGAAGGCGAGATATACGCTATTGCCATGGCCTAGGCACAGGCTGACACTGACAACTATGGCTGAGGATTGAAATACCCAGTCAGTGTCGTAGACCGAGGGGCCGGATGCATAGCCGATTCTGCTGGTTGCTTGGCAGGTTTCAAAGAGCGCTGAGTGCATGGATGTGGCTCGAAGACGGAGTGGCTCACCGACATCACGTTATTGATGTAGGATGGCGGAAAGTTCGATCTCTTGAACGATTTCGATGCCAAAACGCGCTAGCACGGCGACACGTGCTCGCGCTGCAGAGGATCGAAGATCCTGACGCGGCAAGTGATTGGCGGGACGGCAATAGCGCCGAAGTGGCGCCACGAAACCTCGATACGAAATTCCCCTTCGAGCCTTCCTCCACCCGCCAGATACCAGCTACTCGCGCTTCTTTCTGTGGCACTTTTCTGATACGCGTTTTTCACAGAGTCATGCAGAGGTCTATATAGACCGGAGCCTTGCAGTTGATCTTGCAGTAACAACGCGGCTGACGTCACGGTCTCAAAGGAATGGACCAAGGAGCTTCACGAAGTCCACCACCACTGCGTTCACTCCTACCTGCACCTGCCGGTGGAGTTCGCAGAGAATCTGTGGAGAGACAAAAGGCTACACGTGTCAACGCTTGCGAGGCTTGCCGAGTTCGTAAGTCAAGAGCAAGTACATACATGCTGCGCCTTTGGTGCTTTTGCTGACCTACAAACAGTGCGACGGATTAAAGCCTAAATGCACTGCATGCGTGACGCGAGAGACTGAGTGTCGTCATGGCGAGACGGAATCACGGCAGTTCAAGCGTAGATACGAGCAGCTCAAAGAGAAGCGTACTGCCCAGGAAGAAGTATTCGATATGTTACAAAACCTACCGGAGAGGGACGCAGCCGGCATCTTTCGCCGCATTCGAGCCGGCGCAAATGCGGAGGCCGTGGTAAAGCATATTCAAGAAGGGAATATGGTCGCTGAGGCTTCTGATGTTCCGCAAGCGTCGTCGCGCTTTCACTTTCCGTTCCTGGATGAGATACCACCAAGCCTTCGGGACAGCGCTTACTTTCGATCACGGGTTTATGAAGTAATCGATGCATCTGACAGGGACATGGGTACTTCAGAGGCGCATCTTGCTCCGCAAGAGAGCAATTACTGGAGACCTTTGTCCTCGGCCAAGTTGGTTGACCCTCTACTTGAGGATGCACAACCGTCGCAATGGACTAGTGTTAGCTCCAACGATCGATTGCTGCGCAACATTCTCGAAAGTTACTTTGTCAATCAGTATCCAAGACAGTTCTTCTTCGTCAAGAATTATCTACTAGAAGACATGGTATCGAGAAGAGCTGAGTTCTGCTCTCCTCTACTCGTCAATGCACTTTTGGCCAAATCTTGTGTGAGTAAGTGTACACCTGTATCATGGATGGGGGTTCACTAACGTGCCATAGGTTAGTTCTCGACTGTTTGCCAACCAGACCAAGTTTTGGAATCCAGATAGCCTGCCATATCGATTCTTGGCTGAAGCAAAACGACTATGGGAACTAGAGGAGGAGCAGCCAAAGCTTACAACGATTCAAGCTGGCTGCCTCATTAACGCCACGATGAACGACTTTGGTCATGACAGGGTCGGGTTCTCTTACATGTTCAAAGCGCTCAGCATGGCACATCGAATGAGTCTCTTCACGCCTCGGTCATATGACAATAAACTTGAACACGCGAAATCGTTCACTGCTTGGGCCCTTTCCGCGTGGCTGTCGTAAGTACACTTGTTCAATATCATTCCTCAGCTAACTTCTGTCAGATTACAGAGCTACTACTACTTCAAGCCACCGTGCCTCTTGGATATCCCGGCAGATCCGCTTCCTGACGTCGATGGTAGATCGGAGTGGTATGGTCAGATGTCATTGCGTTATCCACCGGACGAGCAGACCTACTCACCCGAATTCGCCCATAGTATGAAAGCACTGTGCGAGTTGCGGGTCATCCAGAATGAGATCGGTGTCATGTGCTTTAGTCGCTCCAAAGAGTCTAGGAAGATGCCTTGGGGTGCAGCTCTGCATATCCAGGCAAAGTTGGAAGCCTGGTATGGAGGTTTGCCTGCCCAACTGCAACCCCGCTGTATCGTGTACCCCGCTCATCTGATGCTACAGTAAGTGGCCACGCCAGATGATCATGATATGAAAGCTAAGATATTTGCAGTTGCGAGTACTATGCGGCTCTGGTAACTTTGTTCCGGTCGCAAATTTCGTCTGGGAATGATGGCGTCCAGCTGTTGACGCAGCATCAACGCAACGCAGCTGAGCAAATCGTTACCCATGCAAGCGTTCAACTCGAGAGTATCTTGCGCTTATACTACCTCCGCCATAGTTTCGAGGCTTACGACTCCACGCTTACCATCTTCCTGGCCCAGCTCGCCAACCTAACATTGGAGCCTCTTGAACAACTCGAACGAGATCCGGGCAACGCTCCCCCGGAAGTCAGCGAATCTCTCCTTTCGACACTCGTCTTATGCTTCGGTGGCTTATATGAGCAATCCAAAAGCGCCTACATCGCCGGTATCATGCTCATGATCATGAGAAAAAGACTGAGTGCCGACGTTCGCAACGCTGTCGGGCGTTATGTCTCGATCGAAGAGACGGATAGCGATACTGATCCAATGGACGAAACGGACCTAGGGTTTTCACATCCAATTCTTTCGGAACTCATACTGCCGGGTACAAGCCTCAGCGACGATCCAAAGTCGTGGAGATTGAAGAATTTGGTGGATGATCCTAGGAGGTATTCGGGGTAGCAACAGAATGGGATGCGATTAACGCGATGATATTGATATGCAGATATAATAGACGAGTGAGGAACGAAGCAGGCACTCTCGATACGTTTTTCGGTCATATGACCACATTGTTCCCAGCAAAGCTCGACCTAAAAGCTGACCTCGGGAGTGTCCAGCCCTTTGACCACGTGATGTCTGTCTGGGGGTTCTTCGGTCCTGCACTTCAGGTAGAGTGCGCGATCAATGTTGTTAGGAAGATTCGACGCGTCGAGGCCGCAGAGCAGCAAAAGTAAATGCTCGCCACACGGCCAGATCGAAAGGATCGATGACCCTTTCATTTCTCATGCCAGGAGACTACCGTATCTTCATAGTATATCGATATTGTGGCGCCGCGCTGTCATCGGGTTCAAACTCTCTGGTGTTCCATCGTTACCCGTAAGCAACACTACGGTATGATCTCCGGATGTTAAAGCGCCGTCGCGTTGCAGATGATGGACGCGACGCCGAAAGAAGATAAGGGAAGGTGCTGACACGGCAACTCCTCGCCTCAACCTCAGGTTTGGCGGTTTGAAGAACGCGAGTCAAGTTGTGCAATGCCTGCAAATGTCTCTCTTCGCAAGATTTGTTGGAATCCTTCGCTGTGTAGGACGCGATGCAGCCCTGGAGGCGTTCCAGAAGCGGGACAGAGAAGGATGCCAAGCCACTAACTAGTCAAGCGGGCCGCTGACGTGGTGAGACGCTCACGAGAAAACGACAGCTCGTTGACACGGCGATAGCCATACCTGGTGGACGAATTGTGAGTTGCCACCACGGTAAAAAACGGAGATCAGACGAAAGCGATGGAGCTGCATCCTCGCTCGTGCAGATGTCACAACGAACGGCCCACCACCTCGTTGGTTCGGCAGAGCCCCGCATCCGCGGATCCATCTGCATCACGCGCACAGACATTCGATAGAACCCAGAATCAGGAGGCGGTGGAGAGTTTCAACGCGCGTCAAAAGCGCGAAGTTCCCGCCCCTCTTCCCGTTGCATTCCCGTTGGACCCACGACTTCCATTCAGGTACCAACGCACACGAACCGTGAAGAAGACAGCACTTGCAGCTTTGTACCTATCCATACAACATCATGCCAGTGGACGAGTGGACTCCTAGTAAAATCACGTATGACCCACCCGAGAAAGGTCGCTTGGGGTATTCCGATCCTGTAGAGTGAGCATCTTGCGAGTAGTTACAAGAGCTCTCCAGCTGATCTCTTCCTATAGATACCATGACGTGACCGAACAGCAACAACCACACGTTCCCGCAAAGCGCGCCCGCCCTACAGAGCAAGAATTCTCCGTAAGGAAGAAGCGATTCTTCGACGATATACGACCTCTCCCAACCTCCCCGAACCAACACAAGTCCAAGAACAACTCCCGAAAAGCATCCTCCAGCAATTCGAAGTCGCGGTCGGCGTCTACCACCAAGCAGCGAGTGCACGTGGACCTTACCAATGATGTAGACATGGAAAGCGTTGATGGACGTGTTCCAGAAAGCGTTGATGGTGGTGTTCCAGAAAGCGTTGATGGTGGTGTTCCAGAAAGCGTTGATGGTGGTGTTCCAGAAAGCGTTGATGGTGGTGTTGCATTGAGCAATGTAAGCGTTAATGGAGGCGTTTCAATCCCTCCCTCTGAAGCCGCTATGGACATCTCGTCTCCTGTATCTTCGCGTGCGGCAATGCAATTCAGAGCCGAGCATACTGAATTCCCGGAAACACCACTACAATCGAGACAAGACAAGGGCAAAGGCAAGGCTACTGAGATGGCGCCACCTCCACGGTTGCCCACGCCGGACTCCGAGGAAACACATTCCCCACCTCATCAACCTACGGAAAGTGAAGTCGGAAGGATTGTCTACGCTTACCTTCGCGAACTTGGGCTGGATCTAATAAACCCGCAAAAGAGTTTGGCGAAAGCCTTCGATGCTCTAAGGAAAGAAATGGATGAGCCTCTAGACCTCAAGAAGTGGTGCTTGCCGGCAAGATTCGACAAAGAAGGGACAGAAGTTCCGTTCAGTGGCAAGCCATTCTTCCAAGTCCCCTTGAATATTGTCAATGAGCTTTCGGATGCGATTGCACAGGGAAATTTCCTGGATGGAGAGTGGGCGCCTTTATGGGACGCCTTCGAGGAATTCTATCCCGACAAGCTGCCCGGCGCCAGGATGAGGGCAGAAAGGGAGGCTGCAAGTCAGAGTGCTTCTCAGCAGGTGCCACCACCGACGCAACCGAGGGCAATGAGGGATACTGCGAATCATGGAGCGGGGCCTTCTCAGCAACCAACACCGTCAACGCGACCAAAGGCAAAGAAGCGTGCAAGAACTGCTCGACAGTCTCCTGAGCCGGAAGAACTTCCATACGGCCCTTGGCTCACCCGTTGGGCTATGAGTTTGGGCCCAGAAGACTTCACGTTCCCTGGAGATTGCCCATGGGCATATAAGAAAGTCGTTAATCTGACCCACGAGGAACGGGTGGACATTGCGATGAAGTACCACAGCAAAGAGCTGACCGACATTATCGGGAGAAGGCAGTTCAACTGGTGCAAAGCAGCGCTTAGATATCATGGCTTGATTCGCTAGGGGACATATCTGCGCCAGAGCACCTGGATGTATGTCAACATGCGAACTGCATGTACGCAAAACTTGCTGGAAGCCTGGTCACCATCCTGGCAGTCCCCGAAGGCCGACTCCTTCGCTGAACAGCTTCACCGATGAGTCTGTGCTGGGTCGAGGTCGAACTAGTAGTTGTTGCAACGAGGCGGAGCTAGCGGTCAGGACCGTGCAGCGCTTGATTGTGGACTGAGGCCTAGTAGAGGCAGGCATGGTTGGAACAGTTCTCGATGTGAAGCCGACGGAGGCATTCTTGGCAGAGTTGCTGCGCGGATGAGCGGCAGCACGAAAGAGGCGGCGAGAGCTGGATGTTGCTGTCGGAGAGGCATGATTGCCCAGCAGGCGATAACGAATTTCATTGATTGATAATTTCTTGCTTTGGGATAGTGTTGTTCGTGTCTCGCTATCATTCACTAACTTGATAGATAGGCCATCATCTTCTACTACGTGTTTGAAGTTGTCGGCGAATGTCTCCAGATTTCTTGTGTTGACTGAGTCCTCTGGAGAAGCGCCCGCCTCCTATATCGTCGACCAAGCATTGTCTATCGGCATCATAATACCGCTGATCGTCTTTGCAGCATCAGACGCAAGGAATGCAATGCCGTGTGCGATGTCGTTCGGGCCCACTGATCCGTATGGAAGATCGTCTCTTTCGAGACCTTGGCATAACATCTGCACGGGGCTGCGAGCTTGTCAGCAATGGCAGGGTGCCAAGGGCTGTAAACCCTTACTTGTACGTTTCCATTGCAGCCTGATCGACGTCCTCTTTCACCACCGACGAGCGGATGTTGGTCGGCACGGCTGAAACTCTTGTTAGAACAACATCCTCTGAATTCAAGGACTCGACGCGGTACTCACCGCCTGGGAGCACGGCATTACACCTGATACTGTCTTTGCGAAAGCGCCACGCGACGTTCTTGGTCGCACCGACAAGCCCATGCTTACTGGCTGTGTATGCGATGCCTGCCACTGCACCGGAAAGACTTGCATAACTACCAACATTGATGATGGCACCGCTTTTCTGGTTTTTCATACTGGGCAACACAGCCGCCATCATTCTGACCGGTACTGTGAGGTTGATGGTCAAGACGCGCTCCCACTCAGAGTCCTTAACTGTATCCGCGCTGCCAAAACCGTCCATGATGCCTGCAACATTAGCCAGCACGTCGATCTTCGGTCCGTACTTTGCGATGCAAGCAGCTATGGCATCTTCTGCTGAGCCGGGTTTGCAAAGGTCGGTTTTGTGGAAGGTGAATAACGCTTTCTGGGTGACATCAAGGTCTTGGTCGAACGGCGACATATCGACGCCGAAGACTTGGGCTTTCTGTGATAGGAAGAGGAGGGTCGTCGCGAGGCCAATGCCGCTGCTGCATCCCGTGATGATGACAGTTTTGTTGTCTAAAGATGTCATTGCGATGAGTATCTTCTATGTAATATTTTGACTGCACATGCCGCTCGCAGCAACTGGCGTTTTATGCATGCCTTGGATCTGTTCTTATGGCTTTCGCGAACACGTAAACACCGTATCAGAAGTTCGTCCTGATTCATATGTCCCGCAATCTAAATGCACACGAGATCAAATCGGGCTATTTGCGCGACCCAGCTGAACAGCTGGCCAACCAGAAGCTTAGCCGTTCGGGAACGATGAAAGCAGGTAGCATCGCCGAGCTTGGAGCGCGATCTATTGGGGCATTCAACCGACGTTGCTATTGCGTTCGCGCAACGACAGCAGAGATACTCAGTGAGTCCATCTTTGCATGAGGCAGAAGGCGATAGCCCAGTACTTTGCGATTGGCATACATCGCGAGCGTATCCAAGACCTCATCTGCATTTACATGCAACGAGCAGGTAGAAGCGACTCATTAGAGTGGCGGCTGTATGCGGGAACAGCGAAACGAGTTATGCTTTTTCGACCTTTGCTGTGTTCCATGCCGACGGAGTTGTACCCGGGAGGATGCCCTCCGACAGCGACTGCTACGTACGCCAAGCTTCCCCAGGTCGCAACGCGTCTGCGCGCTCGAAGTCGCGTCACTTCCATAACTCCCACATCCTGCATTGTCCATAGTAACGATGGGAAATCTTGACAACTATCCTTTTAACTTCGAGTTCCCTGTAGGTCCGTACGTTGACAAAGGACGGCGTTTTCGGTCTTGGACGTTGTATGACGTCTTCTCAGCCGGTTCGTACATACCTTCCAATGTCTGCATCGCACTGACAAGCGAACTTAGACATGCCCGAAGAGGAATTCAAGGCTCTTGTAGACCTGCACTGTGCCGACAGTCCGGATGTCTTTTACCTCATAGTCGACAATAGGTTCAGAAATACACTGCATTTCCTCAAGATGTGTTTGGCTCGCGATTTGGATTTCTACTGGGATATACGGCACCATACAACAAGCCAGAAGCCACTGAAGAAATACTTCGACAAGATTTTCCTGCCACGTCTGCTTCACATGATGCGGAACTTGGCCACTGAAGCTGTCCGTTGCTGGGATATGGCAGTAGCGTGGTATATGACCATGAAATTGGAGTTGTTACACAGCGAAGACATATATCTCGACAGCAACGCTGATGAGGATCTCGATTGTTTCTTGCTTGAATCATTTTACGGCTGGGACGGAAGAACACCCCGATATCGCCAGGAATCCTACTGCAGGCCGATACCGTTTGTCGGTGCCGCCCGGATGTGTGGATATATCCGAGAATGGGTAAGAGACATGCATGGTTGTCCCATCCACGACAAGTCCGAATGGAGCCCTGAGAAGTACGGACCTTCTGGGTATACCAAAGAGTCCTGTATGCAGTCTCAGTTCGTAGCAGCCTACAGCATCTTTGAACGCCAGGCTTATGCCGAAACCAAAAGAAAAGTGTATCACGTCATAGGGCTCAGGTTGCCGAGAGAGCTTACAGATATGGTGTTTGATTATGCTCTTGTGGCCGAAAGCATACCCAAGGATCTCCCGACATATGATGAGTTGGAACCCGACTTTGAAAAATGCGGAGAAGGTGCGTGAGCGACAACCAAGGAGTGGAATTGAGGAAAGCGAATCCAGTTGAGATGGTCGGCGACGTCACTTGGGAGATTGTTCGGCGATAAGCCGCAGAGCGAAGGGGTTGCGTTTTGATACTGTCTGGTGCTTGTATTGGAGGAATATCTGCGCTCCACCGTATCGAATGACAGTCTGCAACACAATCTTGCCGTCAATTGAGATGTTACCTGTCTTCAAGTTGCCGGGAGACGCCGAAGGTTGGCCAGCGCATGCTCCCAAATGAGATGTCCTGAACAAAAAGAGAAAGGCTGGATCTGACAACACGTCATCGTCGTCCAGATTCTACTTAAAACGTAAGCTGCACCGAGATTTGGGTGGGGAGTGGAGCAGCACGTCGCACAACAGCTGCCAGAGCTGGCCGATCACACGCTGGAGTATTTGTAAGTATCTTGTACTCGGCGAACAGGAAAGGTGAATTTTCAAGATGACGTCCCTGACGCTAACAGAAGGTTCCCTGCATAATCGGGCCTTTTCCATCGTAGCTACCCCGCATGTCGTCACATTGAGCAAGGTGCTCTCCAGTGGAAAGCTATCGAACTTTTCATAAAAGGTTTAAAGACAACGACTTTACACACCAACTCACCAAATCAAACACATCATACCTTCAAAATGTCTAAGCCTAACATTCTCTTCGTCCTCACCTCGCACAACAAGCTCGGCGACACCGGCAAGCCCACCGGCTGGTACCTCCCCGAGCTCGCCCACCCCTACCACGTCCTCCACAGCAAAGCCAACATCACCGTAGCATCGCCCAATGGCGGTGAATCACCTCTCGACCCCGCATCCGTCGAAGCCGCGAAAGACGATGTATCCGTCAACTTCCTCAAGAACAACGAGCAGGTCTGGAAGACAACCCAGAAGCTGAGCGACTTCAAGGGCAAGGCGAAGGACTTCGACGCCATCTTCTACGTTGGCGGTCACGGACCCATGTTCGACCTCGTCGACGACGCGACCTCGCAACAACTCATCAGGGAATTCTGGGAGGCGGACAAGATTGTTTCGGCTGTGTGCCATGCGCCCGCTGTCTTCTACGATGCCAAGCTGAGCGACGGAAGCCTGCTTGTCGCTGGCAAGGAGGTTACCGCATTCACAAACGCTGAGGAGGAACAAGTTGGCCTCTCCAAGGTCGTACCCTTCCTGCCCGAGGATGCGCTGAACAAGGCCAGTGGAGGCAAGTTCGTCAAGGCATCTGAGCCTTGGGGCGAGAAGGTCGCCATCTCTGGTCGCTTGATCACTGGACAGAACCCTACCAGTGCCACAGCAGTCGGAGAGGCTATCGCAAAGGCATTGGGCATCTAAGGAGGAATCATCAAATGTAAATAAGGGCCATGTAGAACAATCTCTATCATGATTATACGAATGTTTTTCATTTACGAAGGGTATTATATACATCCAATCTAACATGTTTCTCGTGATTCTCCCTTCAAACTACTTCTCCCAATCTAGGCCAGTTTATACGTACATGTACGTAACTTCTGTGACGGTCTCGTAGACGGTGGCTGGTGGGCAAGCAGCAGCAGGAGCGGAGTGCTCTGGTGCCATGGTGGTGACGGGAGCGGGAGCGGGAGCGGGAGCATGCGACTCTTCAACAGGCGCGTAAGAGGGCTCGACAGGCAGGTAGGTAGTCTCGTAGGGCTTCTCAGAGGTCATGAGAGTGCTGGAGGCATGCATGGTAGAGTTGCCGTACGGGACGGTGGTGTTGAGGTGCTTGTGAGGGATGGTGATGGGGTATGCGGTAGCCGCCTCGGAAGTTGCGGTGGAAGTAGCGTTCGCAGTGGTGACAGGGATGTATGAAGAGATCATGGTAGATGGCTTCATCATGGTGGTGGTAACAGCTTCCTTGCTGACGGTCAAGGCCTCGGAGGAGGCTGGTACCACGACGGTGCTTGAGGTCTCGACCGGTGCGACAGTTGAGGAGACCTCAGGGGTAGGCGTAGGAGTAGCTGAGCTGACAGGCGCGGCCGATGAGGGCTTGACCAGGAGAGGTGTCAGCTTGCTCACGATCCAGTTTGATGCCTCCTCGGTGTAGAGCTCGAAGTAGTTCAGATGCTGAGCTACGTCATCCCCACCAGCGCAGACTGGGTCACCGCCGGCACAGTACGACCTCAAGACGGAGGAGTAAGTGTTCAAACGCTCAAGGTTAGAGCCGGTACGGCCCCAAGCTTGCTTGTCTGCTCCGTCGAGGACGTTGTAGACCTGGTTTGCAGTGTGCTTGACATCACCCCAGAGAAGGGCTGCCTTGACTGCCTGACCAGCTTGAGAGTTGACATCAAGACCGGTAGTCTTGGTGTCAACGTCGCAGGCATCGGCGCCTCCGCCACTCAGAGTAGCTCCTGCAACCATGGCACCTTGCGAGTAACCGTTGACGACGATTAAAGTATCCGGGCACTGGGCGTTGTACTCAGTGATTTGCCTGACGCCGTTGACGGCACCGTCCTGGATAGTAGGGCAGAACTCTACGCCGAGAGTGGCATCGAAGACGAGATCCATGTAATCGCAAGAGTTTCCCTGAGCCTCGAATTTTGCGCAGACGGTATCTCTGAAACCTGAGGTACGGCCATCGCTGTAAGGTGCGTCGTTGCCGCGGGCCATGAAGATAGCGACATCGTTACAGGCTGCGGTGAGCTTGGGAGGAGTGGTGCCTTGGGCACGGGCAGCCAAAGGAAGAGCTGCAAGAACAGCAGTGGCGAGGCCCTGCTTCATGATGGTCGTGGAAGGCATATCGAAGTTCGTAAATAAGGCGTTGCTTGTTCGCTGTGACTCGGGGATTTTGATAGGCGAGTAGTATTAGAGATCGATAGATCTAGTAGCGAAGGTCGTGAGAGTATGGAGTATTAATTATTAGAGAAGATATTATAGCATGGACTATATCCCTTTGATCTGATGTGTGGAGCGAGTGTCGATGGCCGAGCGAACGGACAAGTATTACACAAAGAGTAGAGCGTGATGGAGGGCGTGAAGAAAAGGCCTCAATCAACAGGAACATGCGACATGATATGCCGAACTGACTGTGGAGCCCCCCGTATCGAGAACCACCATCAGAGGCTCTGTGTAAGACCTTGGGGCGAACGGCCTCGTCGTGCAGGAGCGCATGCTTGCAAGCGCATGTATTTTGGAGGCTTCAATCGAACAGTCTGCGGCCCTAGCAACTTGGACTATTGTGTATCCACAGATCTCGTGTTCATTCCAGGTTAGCAGGGCGCCGCTAGCACAGGAGAGGCAATACAGTTCGCTCGCTATGACTCGTGCGGCATAGTCGGCATTACAACCACCGGCATTATCTCGTATCAGGTGTGAGAGATAGGATAAGGCTGCAACCGTTGACACCTCGTGTGCTGCAGATGTTATCCGGAGTGGAGAGT